ATACTTTCATCACTCTGCTGAGAATAGCTTTTCTTTCAAAAGTCGTGTCTCTTTCAAAAGTCATGAGATGTGTCCAGCAGAGCTGAAAAGAGCATCTTTCTGCCTTTCTGATTCTTTGTAGCTTGGGATAAGCACTACTCATTTTCTTTTCAATGGGAGTAGCTGATCCGTCTCACAAAAATCCTTTCCTGTGTCTATTCACCTAGGGCTTTTAAAGGTTTTCTAAACATTCCAACAAGTCCTTAGTTTTCTCTGATCTTAATGAATACCCTAAGTAATACACAGTCTCTAGGCTGGGCTGGTAGCTTCTCCAATGTCTTGTCAGTTATCCCAAAAGGTGAGGCTGATGAAAGATTAATAATGTAAATGACACCCCACCCCAGTATTGCAGCATAACATTCCGTGAAACAAATGAAGATGGAAACAAAGCAGGCAAAAGCAGACAGGACACACAAAAGCAGGAACTTACACCCAACTATCTTCATCTCTGCACCAGAAACAAAGGGGCAAGAATGAGGGGACAGCACAGAGAAAAACAAGAACAATTAAGACAAACAGGAAAAGAGAAAAAAAACCATCACTTGCAGGTTGGTGATGAAGCATGCACGTTTTATCAGGGGTCAAAGCAAAGGACAGAGTGTATTTTTGAGCACAAGGGCAAGAGTCAGGGGGCCCCCTAGAGGGCTGCCATGCCAGCATAGCTGCCTTCTAAAGGGCAAGGTCAGGGCAACCCAGAGACGAGCTTGTGCCAGGTCTGACTCAGGGAAGGGCAAAGCATCCCTAAAGCAGAGTACTCTCTAGGGCATAGTTCTCAAAGGGGGTCCTAAACCAGCAGCATCGCCGTCATTTGAGAGCCTGTGAGGGATACAAATTCTCAGGTCCCACCCCAATCCTACTATCTCAGAAACTCTTGGGTTAGAGGCTTAGCAATCTGTGTTTTTCCAAGCACTGCAGGTGATTCTGATACATACTAAAGTTAGAGAACTACTGCTTTAGGAAAAACTTGGCCATCAGCTAGAACATACTAAATCAAAGGGCAGATTTCTTCTGACAAGAGAGAAGCTCATTTAACTAACATGAAACTTGGCCCATAACGTCCACAGTAAATGATAACCTTAAAAATTCAAGGTTTATAAAACAAGTTAAAATATTTATTTCCCACAGAGGCATGACAGAGCTCTGTATTCCTACTGACTCCAGGGAACAGACTCTCCAGGAAAGCTAACAGTTAGAGAACTACACAGAAGCTGGTGGCACATCTCTGCTGGCTTAGATGTGGTCTGGAGAAGGGTACAGACCATTCTTGAGCAAGTGGTTTTAAATCATTCCTTTCAGTTTACAGTCTTTTGGCAGACAGTTTTCTTTAAAGTTTTATTTTGGCTAATTCTGACAAATGAGACACAGAAAACAATGTTAACTTCAACATTCACCTCATTCACCTGAAACACCTGCCCTGCTCCAATATTTCCTCTCCAGTTTCTTGAAAAAAATCTAAGAGGGCTTCCCTGGTGGCACAGTGGTTGAGAGTCCGCCTGCCGATGTGGGGGACACGGGTTCGTGCCCCGGTCCAGGAGGATCCCACATGCCGCGGAGCGGCTGGGCCCGTGAGCCATGGCCACTGGGCCTGCGCGTCCGGAACCTGTGCTCCGCAACGGGAGAGGACAAAAGGGTGAGAGGCCCGCGAAAAAAAAAAAAAAAAAAAAAAAAAAAAATCTAAGAAAGGAGTAAAAGTGTGCTATAGAGTTATTAGCTTTCATATGCAACTAAAATGAGTTTGGAGGAAAGGAGGAAATACCCATAGAAATATGGTGACAAACCAACAAAAGTCTGTTAAGTGCTCAGTTTCAAAGTAAGGTTTAAATTCCCGCATCTGTTTATCCTTCTATAATCTTGGATGACGTTTCCTGGGTTGATGTGCCTTCTCTGTGACCTCCCAGAACACCAGCAATGGCAGACTTGCCTCCTACTCACCACCATGGGTCATGAGCACAGCTGGATGGCTGTGTAGTCAGGGCCTCAGCTGTGGCAAAGAGTAGGACATCTCCTGTTCACACCAGTCACATGGTGTATGTGTACACACTCATGGAAAGCAACAGGAGACCATCAGAAAGACCTTTTTTGAAATGGTATGTTAGATACTGGTGTGGTTGTAACTTGTCTAAATGCTGAAACTCAGAGCTGTAAGCTCTGTCAGTATGCTTTGACAAGGACCTATCTGGGCCATCTGACAAAAAGGACCTCTCCAGATTAGTATCTGGTGGTTTCTGCCATATGCTGGTAGTTTCAAAATAAGAATCACAGTATACGAATAATTCTAATTTCCCTAGTTACTCTAATTTCTCAGACTTAAGTGTTGAAATGCTCACAGTTACTAACATAATTTATTTCATTTCCCATATGACCATGTATCAAGAAGTCGCAACTTCTTGTAACTCGGTCACACCAGGACTGTGAGGTGTGGGATTGCTGCAGCCCAGGTGAAGAGTGGACCAGCTGCAGGTGGAGGGGTGACCTCACTTAGGGACTTCTTGCCACAGACATGGTTTCCCAAGACAGGCTGACCACAATTTAAGACACTGCTGCACACTTTTCCTGCTGCTCCAGCAGGACCTGCAGGGCTAGCCCTATCCCCTTGCCCAAGGATGGCAAACCTACTCTGATGATACCTTGGGGTGCATTAAGGTGGCTGTCAGTTGTTAGTGCACAGTCCTGAGAGTGGCCATCTATGCAAAAAATTCTTTCCTCAGGGGGAAGGAAAGGTAAAGGAGAGGACAGATGCATAAAGGACTGTTTCCTGCCTGTGAATCAATCCTTACTTTCAGCTCCAGCACTCAGTACTTCAAGGGCAGACAACACAGCGAAGAGCACACTCACAGCCCCAGTTTGGACATCCCAGGATTGTCAGCGTCTCTGCCTTATAGGGCACATCATACGATGATTCCTTAGCTGCCCAAAGGAGGGAAACTCCCCTTAAACTCAGCTTGCCTCACCAATGATACTGATACTGCTTATTTCCATGGTCATGTCTAACATTCTCAGAAATCCTTTATAAACCTGTGTGCCAATGACACAAAGAGATGCAGAGTGCTCCACAAAAAGATCTCTTTCCATAGATGAGGTCTGGATACTGCAACTCCTGAAATTAAAGTTTGCTTAAAAATTTTTGACTGAAGCTTGCTCCTTTCTAGTCTCTGCTCACTTTGTTTTGATTCTGTGACTGTGTGAAGGCTAAGAGGAAGGATATGTCCAAATCTTAGACAAACAAGTTCTTAAAAGAGAGAAAGAACTTTAAGTACATTTTTTAGAATATATGACTCTACATCATGAGCCCGGATACCTAATGAAAATAAGATCACCAGAACAATTTTGGTAACTACTAATTATTTCTTCAGTGACATGTTGCCAAGAAGTCAGGAACTATGCCCGGGCTCTTCTTTTCCTGATTACCAGGGTCATCGAGGGCTGAGGAACGTGTCGGGACAGGATGAAAGAAACATCCTGTGGAGGACATCACCTCTACAATAGTCAGATGGGGGCCTTTCATAAGCATGAAGTCTCCTAAGTATTTAAAGATAAACACAGAATTGATTAGGAATTGATTAAATGGCCTAGGACTCTCATACAAAAGACCCTCCTGTGTGCATGAGCAGGAGACAAAGGCTGTCACAGCAGCTTGCTCTGCATTCACAGTGTCTATGGACAGAGAACGAAGGCAACAGAAAACAAGTCTGGGCATAATGTGGGAAGTTGGAGGGCAGCTGGAATCCATCACACAGGCCTTCTCTATACTCAGGCCATACTCTCCTCTGGGTATGTGCTGGCAAATATTTCCAACAAGAGGATTTTACAGCACCATGAAGAACTCCAAATAGGTGATATTTAGAGTGGTCACAATCAGTTTAGTCTAGCCTGGCTTGGCTCCTTTAAACAAAGGCAAATAAACTTTTAGCAGAACATTAAAACTCAGGGAGGGTGGGAGGGAGGAGATATGGGGATATATGTATATGGATAGCTGATTCACTTTGTTACAAAGCAGAAACTAACACACCATTGTAAAGCAATTATACTCCAATAAAGATGTTAAAAAAATAAAATAAAATAAAATCACATCACTAAAAAAAAAAAAAAAATCACTGGAAAAGGTAGGGCTACTACTCCTCCCATAATTCATCCAGACAAACAGTCTGTCTCCTTTCCCTCTCCTTGTTCCCATCTTCTCTGGTTATCAGACCACCTGCCATCCATCGGAGCCATGCCTCTACCCTTCTTCCCTCACTCCCTACAGCCCCCTTGGTTCTGATGGCCTGTTTGGATCCACTTCTCTAGCTTGGCCTGCATCCCCCTGGCCAGGAAGCATGAACCTGAGATTGACCTGCTGGAACCACACTTGAGAGTCAATGCATTCCCACTTTCTGCCCTGGCTCTCCATCAGGAATTAGATGAAAGGAGTTAGACAATTTCTGAGAAATTGGCCAGATAGTACTATTCACAGTGCCTAACTTATACCATTTGTCTGACCCATTTTTCTGATACATTATGGTATTTTCATTATGATTCATTTTTCTGATACAAATATATCTGCTATTCCTACATGAACTGAACTGGGATTCATTGACACTATAGGCACTATTTTCCTTAAAGAGGATGTTCCTATGAGGGGATTCTCCTCTAGGAAATGTAATTGAAGAGAAGAGTATAAAAATCCATCCCCATGAGAAGTTCTATATTGATTCCTACCATCCGGTCTCCATAGGAGACAAAAAAGCTCATCTGCTGCACTGGTGAACATATGTGGGGGCTTCTGGAAAAGAACAGATGCCAACAAGAGTCAAAGGAGCAACTGGCTGCAGACTGCAGTCAGCAACCTGACTTCGGCTGTAGAGGCTTTTAATGGCTGCAGGGCTCCTCCACAGCATAGTTCACCACCTGCTCACAAGGGGAGCACTGGACTCAATCCTCCTAACCCTTCTCCCACTCCAGCCCCAAGAAGTTCTGCCTACCTGGCATGATGACGTCAGGAAATCCCAATTTTCTTGTAATTGCCAATCCCCTATTAAATATCATAGGATTTTCTCTCCTAATCTGTTCCATGTCTCCACGAAGAAGCTGCAGAGAAATGATAAGACCTGCAAAAACAAAAGCATTGTTTTTACTCAGTATCATACTTCTACCCTAGAAAACACAGAGTCACATTTTTTCAGGAAAAAATGTGCAAAATTCAGCATTTTTCTTGAGAAAAGTTTTGATGCAGAAAGTATACATTATTCTGAAGAAACATGCTAGAAAGCTAAAAGAATCTAAGTCAAGATAATCTCAAAAATCCAGAGAACTATTCTATTAAATACAAACTGAGGTCTGGGAGATTAAGTTGCCTTCCTCTTTGTTCCCCAGCATCCAGCCCAGGGCCGGACTGGGTCTTAGTGAATATTGAATGAGAGGGTTGATTCACATAAACTGTACGTTTAGGAACCCAGAGAAGTCTATAGAAACAATGGCAGACTAGAAACAAGTGTAACCAAAGAAGACCTTGTGTGAGGGTGTCCCACCATTTGGAAACGACTAGGTTAAGAGATGCTGTGTTTTATGCCAAAGTGCGGGATGCAATTTTCTGGTTCAACCTTGCAATGGCTTGTACAGAGGGCAGCAGAGCAGACATCACATTCTTCCTGCAGGGAACCAATGCACTGCAAGGAAAGGAAAGAATATTTTGTGGGGCTAACTGAGCCTTGCTTCAGACTCTAAGAATTTCAGATCCTCCAGATGATCCCAGGGGCTTTATTCAGAACTTGGGAGAATGTGCAATGTCCCCTAAAGTGATCTGGCTTTTGCTCATTACTTGTAGCTTAGGAGTTTTGCTCATTACTTTTGCTCATTACTTGTACCTTAGGAGTTTTGCACAAAACAAAAGTCTCCTGGAAATCACTCTCCTCCCCTGTCCTCAAGGATCCTCACTGCAGCCACTGGCTAGGAGTCTGTGAAGTCAAGCCTAGATGGAGTTTGGAGTGCCTCTGAGACACTGTGAATGAGATTAGCTGGTAGGAGGATGAGTTTAGGTGCTGATCTATGGGTCAGCAGGAAGCACCCTCGTCAATCTGGAAACTTGGGAGTTGAGCAGAAGATGAATATCTAGAAATGAGGGAAGATGTTATGATAATCAGGACAATCAAAAGAGTGGTGGTTAGAATGGAGACAGTAACAGTAACAAGTGGAGATGTAGAATAAGAACGGTCTGGGAAGGGAGAAGGGAGAGGAGATGGAGAAGTGGAGAAAGAGAAGTCAGGAGAGTCACAGATACTGTATCTAGCAGGTCAAAGTATTCTAGGAACTAGGAATATGTACTCTCACTGCTGGGTCAGTGGAGGAAATACAGTTCTACTGCCGCCCAGACAGAACCTCAAGATGATCTCATTGCTTCAGCTAAGTGCATCTCCCTCAAGAAACCCTGGGATTACACATATGAAGTCGCAGGTGTCATTAACACCAGGATCACAGTGCCCTGAAAAGCAGACATATGATATTCCAGTTGGCGTTCTGGTTAGATAATCAGTGTTTGAGATTCGGCCACTCTAAATTAATTTTTTTATAGCCTAATCACTTGATGGACCCAGTTACCATTAGTTTATGACCCTGAAAGGCTGAAGGCCTTTGATTTCTACAGACGACAGCAGGTTGGTGAGGTACTCACCCTCCCCCACAACCTCAGCTTATTTATCTGCAGTATCTTTTTTTTTTTTTTTTTTTTTGTGGTACGCGGGCCTCTCACTGCTGTGGCCTCTCCCATTGCAGAGCACAGGCTCTGGACGCGCAGGCTCTGGACGCGCAGGCTCAGCGGCCATGGCTCACGGGCCCAGCTGCTCCGCGGCACGTGGGATCTTCCCGGATCGGGGCACGAACCCGTGTCCCCTGCATCGGCAGGCGGACTCTCAACCACTGTGCCACCAGGGAAGCCCTATCTGCAGTATCTTTACACAGCTATCATTACATCTCATCCTCTGGGTGAACAAAAATCCACTGACTTAGGAGATGGCCTAGCCTGGAGCAGATAGCTAAGAATGAAACCGTTTCCAGAATCTGAGATAGTGGATGGAGGGCAAAGGAAAAAAAAAAAAATCAGTGAGTGCACTCTTACCATTCTGCATTGGCAAGGATTTATTCCAATACCCACTGACTGCCTTTCATCTCCTCATTTTTTGAGCTATCAAATTGGCCTATATATGCGAAGTGCAACCTGTGAGGATGTAGACTGAAGGTGCTGGGAGAATCACATCTAGCTTTCAAGCTACTCAAAAAGATCCTGAGTAGCTGCTCTCCTCTTCCAAACATGACATTTAAGAGGCCTTCAGTTTATGCAAGAGAGCAAGTGAAAAGGCACATGAAGAATGAAAGAAACCACCAATGGAGGCTATAAAAATTCCATCACTCAGATTAAGAGATACAAACTACTATGTGTAAAATATATAAGCAATAAACATATAGTGTGCAGTACAAGGAAATACAGCCATTATTTTGTAATAACTTTAAATGGAGTATCATCTATAAAAATGTTGAATTGCTATGAAAATAGCGATTCATAGTGTACATGAAACTAATATAAATTGTAAATCAACAATACTTCAAGTAAGAAATAAGAAAATAGAGGAAAACTCCATCCCCTTTTGTAGGGGCTGGAATCCCAGAACTTCTGGATCACTTTTCTAGTTCTGAAACCCTGAGTGATTGAGGCACATGCCAAATAATGGTAAGGCATGGTCCTTAGGACCGAAAAGCCTCTGTGAATAACTCAGAAAAACGACAACTCACCTACCCAGTACACAACCAGTCCTTTAGCAATTCTGGGTATTCTACCTACCAATCATCTGGCTCTCAAGCCAAAGAACTTGACAGTAAATACGTCTATACAAGTTCTCTGTTAATCTGATCCCTGACACAAGAAAACTGCCTTTTTAACCTCAAGTTAAACACTGTCCCCATAAAAAAGTTACTGGACACAACTGACACCTATTTGGAATACTGGAGGGCCAGCAATCTGGCCCTGGCCCCTCGCCATCCGCATCCCTTGTGGAAGAACTAGATGAGGATTAATAATGCAAATTAACCTTAGCCCAAGATTTGTAAATAAAGCTGTACTTAATAGCCATTTAAAAATACATAGAAAAGATGTTAAAAAATAAAATAAAATAAAAATACATAGAGGGCTTCCCTGGTGATGCAGTGGTTAAGAATCCGCCTGCCAATGCAAGGGACACAGGTTCGATTCCTGGTCCGGTAAGATCCCACATCCCATGTAGCAACTAAGCCTGTGCGCCACAACTACTGAGCCTGCACTCTAGAGCCCATGAACCACAACTAATGAAGCCCGCGTGCCACAACTACTGAAGCCCGCACGCCTAGAGCCCGTGTTCTGCAACAACAGAAGCCACCACAATGACAAGTCCATGCACCACAATGAAGAGTAGCCCCCGCTCACCACAACTAGAGAAAGCCCATGTGCAGCAACAAAGACCCAATGCAGCCAAAAATAAATAAATTTATAAAAATAAATAAATAAATAAAACACATAGAAAACCACGGCATCAACTGTTTTATTTGCTAAGAGTTGGGTTTGTGGCTACATATCTAAGAGGCCAATAACAAAAATGAAGAGCCACATATATTAAAGCTGCACCTAAGAGATTTACTGCTGGATGACACATTTACTCTCAGCACTCAAAACCAATATAGTAGGACTTCCCTGGCAGTCCAGTGGTTAAGACTCCACCTTCCAATGCAGGGGCTGCAGGTTCAATCCCTGGTTGGGGAGCTAAGATCCCACATGCCTCACAGACCAAAAACCAAAACATAAAACAGAAGCAATATTGTAACAAATTCAATAAAGACTTTAAAAATGGTCCACATCGAAAAAAATCTTAAAAAGAAAAAACCAATATAGCAACTCCTTCTGCATTTTTGTATGATTTGACTTGACAGGAAAGCACTAATGACTTCTGAAACAGACTGCCAAGGCAATGAACTGTTCATGATGTTTAACAAAGATGGGTGAGAGTTTACAGTAAAGTAAATTAACTTTTTATAAAGAAGTATCTTTAATTAAGGAGACTAACAAAGACCTGAAATATTCTTTGAGCAATTATGAAATTCTCTGACATGAAGACCAGCAGTGGAAAACCCATGCTCAGAAGCTTTGACAATAGAGTGGAAAGGCCAGTGGCCTGCAGTATGGAAACCTGGGCTCCCTGGTTAAGCCACTAAATCATTTCACTGTGCTTCAGTTTCTTCATTTATTTAATGAGGGAGTTGAAACACGTGATTTCCCAGATCTCAACCAGCTTCCAAGTTAAGCCTTGCCAAGAAGCAGTCAGACACACACTTCAAAGAAAAGCAGCCTATTTCTCCTCCTGGATTTCCCACAACAGCATGAAGACCTCCTCTCACTACGGCCATCCTGAGGCTCTCTGAAGTCTATGCTGCCCCAGCACAGAGGATGGGGTGCTTTTCTAACACTGTTTAAGTGGCCAGTGTCTGTGAGTTCTGGACAAAAATCACGGACACTGATGATGGCATGGTTTCTTGCTCACTCTGGGAGGTGAGACAAAATTCAGCATTTTAACCTGGTGAAGTGATGGTGGAAACTGCACTTTGGTTGTTTCTTTTTTTTTAAAAAAAAAACCCTTTTTAAATTAATTAATTTATTTTAAAAAGTTATTTATTTTATTTATATAATTTTGGCTGCATTGGGTCTTTGTTGCTGTGCATGAGCTTCCTCTAGTTGTGGCAAGCGGGGGCTACTCTTCGTTGCAGTACATGGGCGCTAGGCGTGCGGGCCTCAGTAGTTGTGGCACTCGGGATAAGCAGTTGTGGTTTGCAGGCTCTAGAGCACAGGCTCAGTAGTTGTGGCGCATGGGCTTAGTTGCTCTGCGACAGGTGGGATCTTCCTGGACCAGGAATGGAACCTGTGTCCCCTGCATTGGCAGGCGGGTTCTTAACCACTGTTCACCAGGAAAGCCCCTCTCCATGTTTTAATCACATCATATCCCAAGAACTTGTAGCCAAGGGTAGCTTTTTATAAATAAAATAAGGAAATAAAGCAAAGAACACTATAAATATTGGTGTGAACAGTTTTCCAAATTGTAGTAACTTCTCTGTATTTTAAAAACAAGATTTGTCTCTTGCTTTAGCCTAGTTTTAGGTGAGGAATATGAACTCCCTTCCCCTTCCAGCACACTGCGTGTAGCTCCTTGGCATCCAGGCACATATAAGGGGAAACAGGCACTTAAAAACAGTGGAAAAGGCCCTGAGGAACCCCACGCTACAGAGTTTTAGAGAAGTCTCAAACTTTGAAGCCTCTGATTTGGAGCTGCTCTGAGGACCCTCCTAGTTCAATATATGTTGACCCTGATAAAGAAAAAAAAAGTTCTTTTCAACAACTTTGGGAACTGCCATGCCCTGAAGTGGCTTTACACTGTCATTTAAGGGCAACTTTTTATTTACAACAGGTCTATGGAAGTTAAAACAAAGAAGGCTACGTAAAAGAGATTATGAAACAATTTAGCGGTATTGGGTTGGCCAAAAAGTTCCTTCAGTTTTTAAGTAAAAATAAAAGACACACTTTTCTTTCCTTTAAAAAAAAAAAATTATTATTATTTATTTATTTATTTGGCTGCACCGGGTCTTAGTTGTGGCACACGGGATCTTCGTTGAGGCATGCGGGACTTTTTAGTTGCAGCATGCAGGATCTTTTAGTTGCAGCACGTGGATCTTTAGTTGCAGCATGTGGGTGGGGGGGTCTTCCAGTTTTGGCATGCGGGATCTTCAGTTGCGTCATGCGAACTCCCAGTTGCACCATGTGGGATCCAGTTCCCCGACCAGGGCTCGAACCCTCCTCCCTGCACCCCCCCCCCCCAATTAAGAGCACAGAGACCTAGCCACTGGACCACCAGGGAAGTCCCAAACATGCATTTTTTCACTTTTACCAAGACCTTTATTGAATATATTCACAGTTTTGTTCCACTACCTTCTGCCATTTTTCATGCAATTTCATAATTCTAACTTCCCAAAATTTTTTATCTTTTTGAGCAAAGAACTGTTCCAGGTGCCTTTTACAGTCTTCCAGGGAATTGAAATTTTTTTCCATTAAGAGAATTTTGTAAAGACTGAAATAAATGGGAATCTGAAGGTGCAATGTCTGGTGAATATAGCAGATAAATCAGAACTTCCCAGCCAAGCTGTAACAGTTTTTGCCTGGTCATCAAAGAAACACGCGGTCTTGCGTTATCTTGATGGAAGATTATGCGTTTTCTGTTGACTAATTCCGGACGCTTTTCATCGAGTGCTGCTTTCAGTTGGTCTAACTGGGAGCAGTACTTGTTGAAATTAATTGTTTGGTTTTCCAGAAGCAGCTCATAATAGACGACTCCCTTCCAATCCCACCATGTATACAACATCACCTTCTTTGGATGAAGACCGGCCTTTGGTGTGGTTGGTGGTGGTTCATTTCGCTTGCCCCACGATCTCTTCCATTCCACATTATTGTACAGTATCCACTTTTCATCACCCGTCACAGTTTGTTTTAAAAACAGAATGTTTTTGTTACGTTTAAGTAGAGAATTGCATGCGGAAATATGGTCAAGAAGGTTTTTTTCGCTTAACTTATGTGGAACCCAAACATCAAAGAGATTAACATAACCAAGCCGGTGCAAATGATTTTCAATGCTTTATTTGGATATTTTGAGTATGTTGGCTATCTCCCACATGGTATAACGTTGACTATTCTCAATTAATGTCTTGATTTGATCGCTATCAACTTCACATGGTCTACCTGACCATGGAGCATCATCCAGCTAGAAATCTCCAGCATGAAAATACACAAATCACCTTTGACACGTTCGATCAGTCACAGCACCTTCTCCATACACTGCACAAATCTTTTTTTGCATTTCAGTTACATTTTTACCTTTCTAGAAATAATAAAGCATAATATGCCGAAAATGTTGCTTTTTTTCTTCCATCTTCGATATTAAAATGGCTACACAAAAATCACCAATTTTGATAAGTTTTTTTAAAATGCATGCTGATATGACAGCTGTCACAATATAATCTAACAAAACTTTTCGAATGAAGTTGAAGACAACTAAGCGCTACTAGAGCCACCTTACGGAAAACCAAACGAACTTTTTGGCCAACTCAATAAAAACTATCTGGAGAAACACAGTTCTATGTAAATTTGATAGCTATCTTCAAGGGTATATAAAAGCTCATAGGCTTTTACTTTTATTTATATATTCTATATATTTCATCGAGGTGTAGTTGATGTACAATATTATATAAGTTTCAGCTGTACAACAGTGATTCACAACTTTTAAAGGTTATGTTCCATTTATATATATTATAAAATATTGGCTATATTCTCTGTGTTGTTATATCCTTGCAGCTTATTTATTTTATACATAGTAGTTTGTACCTCTTAATCTTCTACCCCTCCCCATGTCCCTCCCCTCACTGGAAACCAACAGTTTGTTCTCTATATCTGCAAGTCTGTTTCTTTCTCGTTATATTCACTAGTTTGTTTTACGTTTTAGATTCCACATATAAGTGATATCATACAGTATTTGTCTTTCTCTAACTTATGTCACTTAGCATAATACCCTCCAACTCCATCTATGTTTTTGCAAATGGCAAAATTTCATTCTTTTTTAAGGCTGAGTAGTATTCCATTGTACATATATATACACTACATCTTCTTTATCCGTTCATCTTTTGATGGACACTTAGGTTGCTTCCATATCTTGGCAACTGTAAATAACGCTTCTATGAACACTGGGGTGTATACATCTATACATCTTTTTGAATTAGTGGTTTTTTTTTTCGGATATATACCCAGGAGTGGAATTGTTGGGTCACATGGTAGTTCTATTTTCAGTTTTTTGAGAATCCTCCATACTGTTTTTCACAGTCGCTACACCAATTTACATTCCCACCAACGGTATGTGAGGGTTCCCTTTTCTCCACAGCCTCACCAACATTTGTTATTTGCGTCCTTTTTCATGATAGCCATTCTGACAGGTTTGAGGTGATATATCATTGTGGTTTTAATTTGCATTTCTCTGATGATTAATGATGTTGAACATCTTTTCATGTGCCTGCTGGCCATCTGTACGTCTTCTTTGGAAAAACGTCTATTCAGATCTTATAGGCTTTTAAATAGTGCTTCTAATTTAATCAAGCAATATTCAGTTTAGAATTAATGTTAATATGTACAACTGTACATGATATAACATGTACAGTTGTACTATGTGCTGTGAAGCACAACAGGTTTCTAAATAAAAGAGTTTGCACAGAGACCATTCAGAGATAAAGGAGGTTGGCCACTGGACAAATTTTTCTTAATCAGTAATCAAATTAATCTTAATCAAGATTTAGATAGAAATTAAAGAGTTTTTTTTTTTTTTTTTTTTTTTTTT